AGTTGCCGAAATGCTCAACGCAAATGGCACCGCGACCGCTGGGGGACGTCGACGGCAATGTCGACATGGCTAGTTCCGGGCCAGGTGTTAAAGCCGCTGCACCAAAGGGCAGGTTAAAGCGTAAACTGACTTCGCCCAACGATGAAGCCAAAGCTCGCTCCATAGCAAGAAAACTGGACTTTACGAAGCAGGTGAATAGCCCATAATCAATGTTTTCTGCGTCACGTCCAAGGACCGTGTTGGCCCGCTGCTGCTGTGAGTACAGAAGTACATGATGGATTATATGTAACATAGCCACATTTGTACGTATCACTGCCAGTCCTTATTGCATAGCTAAAATAAAAAAAAGAAAGAAAGAAAAGAAAATATAAGTAAAAAATAGCAAAAGATAGAGCAATGTGGAACTACAAGGAATTATCACTATTTCGATGCATCGCAGATATGACACTTTGTCATCGTTTCTGGATTCTTCAGTCCACAGCTACTGCAATGCCACACCTCGGGCTCTGGTTCAGGTGGTTTCATTCCCGCAGCAGCCCAATTGAAGCTCGCCACCGGAGCTTTAACACCCGTGAGAGGTGCGGCGGAGTTTGTGGACGATGGTGAAGAAGAGCTAGTCGGCTTTGGGGCATCGCAGAATGTACACTTTGACACCTCGCTAGTAGGATTCTTCAACATGCATGTCGAACATGTCCACTGTGCAGGTCCATCGCCATCGGGTTTCTTCAATCCAGCAGCTGCCCAATCGAACGTTGCCTTACTCACCACTGGAGTGCGCTCCGCCTCACATGTAGAACACTTGGTGGCGGCAGGGTCTGTGTTCTTGAGCGAACATGTACTACATATCCACTGAGATGTATTGTTATCCGGGCGCTTCATACCTGCTGCGCTCCAGTTGAACGCCATTGGTGAAGCAAATGAGGTTGAAGCCACAGGGGTACTATCGAAATCAAACTGGGGCAGTTCTGAGACGGGAACTGTTTTTGCAGCCGCCACCGCTCTGCTATCAGAAGGGAGACCAGAACCTGAGGCTACTGGTTCAGCGTCATCGAAAGTAAACACTGGAAGAGCGGCGACAGGTAGGTTTCGAACATGTTCCTTGGGGTCGATGTCTGCCTTTGATTTGGCATCGGAAGTAACAGTAAACGAGGATGGGGTACCAGCGTTGCTGGAAGACACGAGAGGGGCAGGCGTAGGTGCATCCTTCTTTGTCCCAAAGCCAGGGAACGCGCTGTGAGCATTCGTAGTAGTAGAACCAGTAGATCTGTCAGCAGACACTGTGACATCAGGCGTCGTCGACGAAGAAGAATCTGAAGACGCAATTGACTCGGGTTTGTAACTGAACCGGAGCTTTGATGGTTCTTTCGGAATGGCACTGGCCTTTTGTCCGCTTCCGCTGGCGCCGAAAGGGGAACGAGTACTAGTGGAGGACGAGAACGGGGATCCCGTGGATGGGCCTGGATTGAACTTTAACCCTTTGTTTCCACCAAACTCATTTCCAGCTTTGCTATCAACCTCAATAACTTCTGTAGGCTTCGTGGTCGATGTCTCGCCGGACATATCATCATCGATAATCTCCTCGATAATTGGTGCCGGAACAGATGCCCTCTTATTACGCCCATTGAGATCAGGAGCAGCAGATTCGAACCCAAAACCTTTTGATTTCTTGTGTTGGCGGGATTTTTCTTCGTTGTCCTCATCTTCAACCTCCTCGATTTGCGGAGCGTAAAACGAGGATCGGCTCGCCTTTGGAGGTGAAGGCGATCGTGACGCAGAAAGACCATTGGGAAGTCCTTTACCAATGTTGGCTGGAGCACGAGAACGTTTGCTTCCCTGGTTGAAACGAATTGGTTCCTGAAATTCATAAGGATCTGTGATAGGCAACGAACCTTGGGGACTGAAGCCTCAATAATAGCCTGAGCAGTGTATTTTTCCGCCACCTCTTTTTCTTTTTTCTTTTTCTTTTTCTTTCTCTTTCTTCCTTGGCGTTCTCAACCTTCCCATTGACTGTGATAGTCTCTGGCGGGGCGGAAGGCCTGCCGACGCCCTCGTCCTCCTTGCCGGCTTGGGCTTCGCTTTCATACCACTAGTAGCATATTTCACAGGACTCGCAGCCTGATACGGATTGCTGACATCCAGGTTTCTCACGGTGTTACCTCTTTTATCATCTCGCTCAAGTAGCTTGCAGCTTTGGTTACTCGCTGTGATGTTGTGGCGATCCATCGTCTGATAACCTGGAGGAAGGCGATGGGGATTGCTTCCAGGTTTGTCGTAATGGGGAGGGGACTACTGGTGTAGTGGGTTTAACAGGAACCCTGAGATGGGGGCCGAAGGCTTCACGCCGTTTGGCTGGGGTGCTTTCAGCCCGTCAGAAGTACTCTGTGAAGACGGCCGAGTCGGGGTAGTTGTGGGAAATCGTAAAGCTTCAGCTGCTCTTGTTGGCGAAGGTGCCGGTGCAGCCGAGCGGACAGGCGCTGAACCTCCGCTTGGAGTAGGAGATGAAGATGACGCCTCCTCACCAACGCGTCGTCGTTTCGTATCTGTCCTGATAGGTTCAATAGCCTTTTCTGGGCTTTCTCGCAAAACAAAACGTCCGGGGGAAGGTCGTGGGGAAGGGCCAAAGGCAGGAGAGTAGTACCTATTCCGAGAACGAAGCGGCTTCGAACTTCCACCGCCCTCCCACCGGTATGTGCCATTGGGATTCTGCTTGAGAAATTTCCCTGGAGAAGAGTTCGGCGTAGTCGGCGCACTGACATAGGAAGGGGAGAACGAAAATGGTACCGAATTGGTACTGGCGGAAGCGAAGAGGGGAGAATTGCCTCTTTGAGGCGTAGATGGAGTGCTGGAAAATCGAAACGTCTCGTGTTCGTCGGCTAAAAAGGGTTAATGAGATTTAAATTCCCTTTTAGCATTGGAAGCTGTTTTACCGGGTGTACTTTTCTTGATGATAGAGATAAGCTCCTCTGCTTCAGATGTACTGAGCGGTTCGTCCCGAGGTCGTTCTCCGAGATATTTGGACAAGTATTCCAGTCCCTGTTGCTGAGTTTCTGGACTGACATCATGGCCACCAAAAGTGGCGTTCGTTGGTGATAGAGAAGATGCGGAGCTGGGAGGAGGCTGCGCGAACTCAAGCGGGGCGGGAGATGGATGGTTTGTAGCGTCTGAAGCACTAGATATCTTTTGGCAATGGTTAATATTGTTGAATAGCAAGATAAATACAACTCACCTGTGGAGCTCGAGAAGACAGTGTTTCTGCAGCTGCTGCATGACTGGTATCTCTAATGCCGGCCTCTGATCCCTCCTGAGACAGATACCGAGAGCGTAAAGGGTTAAAATAGTTCAGCAATCCCGAGATGGACCAAGACTGCAAAAAAAAATCAGTCTAAAAAAATCAGCATCAATGTATGGCGCTGTTTACCGATTTCTTGGTATCAGAGCGCGAATAAGGCGACGAAGAGAATGCACGCGATGCCGCACGAGATTTATGGCGAACAGGCCCGCTCATCGTTGCTGACGGCGGCAAACAACGCGAAAGCAAAGAACAAAGGACGGCAAACAGGTGTCCTAATAATTTGTAAACCGGCCCTAATGCCGAGCACGTGATAATAACAGTCCTTTGCTCAGAACTAGACAGCCATGCCTGAAAAGGTCCTGGATACTCCGTATCCCGTCATTGACATTGACCCACACTTCTCTCGAGTTGTCCGATACTTTAGACCTACCGATTATGCTGCTTGGGCAGCAGGTACCATCGCAGTGCCTGGCGCTCTGTTAGCTTGGGGTATGTATTCTACGAAAGCAATAAACTCTCGCGTTTTTGACTTTTGTACATCTCAGAATTGGCTGACCCTCATGGCCACGAAGTCAAGACAGTCAAGGTTGGACCCGGCGAGAAACTGCCTCGTGGTCGACTTGCCCTTGGAGATGCGAGTACCGTCATGGCAAGACGGATGGCGACGGGTTTGAAAGTGGCAGCATTCCTTGGATTCTGTGGAGGATTTTTGATTGCATACCAAAACTCATCCAGTAAATTTCTAGTTCTTGTTTCCAATATTCAACGTAACCTTTGTCTAGTGCGTTTCTATGGATGGACCGAGAACAAACGGGAGGAGGAGATGGATTTAGCTGAGCTTTCGCAGCTGGCAAAAGAGGGCAAACCAATCTATGGAGAGTCACATCAATCTCCTTGGGTACAGGGTGCTGCCCACCGAAACTCTGTCTTTTCGCAACTGAAGTTCTGTGCGTATCCCCGTATTGTCTGCCACTCAAGTTTACTTATGTCGTTACTTCCAGCTGCTTTTCCAATGTGCGTAATAACTCATTTCCCGTTTATGTCCCTCTTAAACGTTTATAGGTTCAATTTCGTCAACCACCCGCACCATGGTGTGGACACTTCCAAGTACGACGTAAAGACAGAGTCCAAACCAGAAGATGCATAGAACGCCCTTGTACCCTCTATTATTGACGAATTCCATCTCTCTTGCACTAAGACTACTTTCCTAAATCGGAGTGAAAGCTGGAAGGGAATCGCTTCGCTTCACGTTCCTGCCCTTCGGTGCGAAGTTGGAAGGACTACTTCAAGACCTTGGATGAGAGGTCATCTTGATGTCGATGAGTGACTTGAGGTTGAACGTTGAATATTGAATCGTTCGAATCTATTCATCTGCGGCTTTGACGAACTTGCCTGGCTGAAACTGATGGAGGAGGTGCAGAGTCATTTGTGGAGTAGAAAGCGAAGTGTAAATCCCTCTGCACTTCAAGCTTCAAGAGTTACAACGGCATTCTTACGAGTGCTGCACCGCGTTTAAAACGGAGTTCTCAGGTGCCTTGCAAGTAAGAAAGCAGACTAGCAGTTGAAAACGGGCTGGCACAGAAAGGTCCCCATGAATAAATGAGATTCAGTCATGATAAATGGCTCCGAACACAAAAATAACGTGGTAACTCCTAGCTCGTGAGTTGGACAAAGGGGAAAAAAAGTAAAATTCTTAACGCTCTATCAGAGGTCTAACCAGGACTCGAACCTGGGTTACGGGAAATGGTTCTTAACTGGCAATCAAAATCCCGTGTGATAACCTCTACACTATTAGACCGTGTGCTCAAGGAATTGTACATCTTATTCATCGTTTTGACTGGCTTGAATTCTAGGTCGAATCTGGCTCCAATGTGCACAAGTTAGAGCTCTGAATCGATAAACTATAAGTAGTCTGATTATGATTAGTTCGTTTGGAATGTCAATACATAGCAAAATAATGGTCGTTACATATAACGCAAGAGTTCGGGGGACAACAGGATAGGATGGATGAATTATACAATGCGTTAGCTAAAGGCGAAGCAAAGCAAGTCCGGCCGATGGTTAAACGAAGTGAGGGAAGGATATAACGAATTAAGGAATCGCAAGTGGGAACGAGAAATGAGTATGAGTAAAGACAGTACGTGCAGCTATTAGTCACATATCACCTCTTCCCTCCCTGTACTCTCGGTGCTGAACCAGGAACCAAACTGTCATAAGTAGGAGGAATCTCATCTGGTCCTTCCTCTTCCTCTATTTTCCCGCCGTCCTGATGTACCAACACATCTCTAGCCGACGAACTTGGTCCACCAGGAGTCTTCTCGCCTCTGCCCACACGAGGTGCATTAAACCCACCTACGAAACCCGCCGAGTCATCAGGATTGGAAACATTGAATCTTCCCGCGCCACTCGGACCACTTTGTGCGGTCTGAGCAGACCGAGTGCCACCAGAAGACGTAGATCCAGGTCCGGCCGAGAACGGATTTGGCAGATCGAGACGTTCGTTCGAACTAGTGGCGTACGGAGGCTGCGAAGGCTGGCTGGGCGCAGAATACGAGTGATTCGACATGAGCGGAGCACCGGATGACGAGTGCGACCTACTCGACGGAGCGGTAGTAGGATGGTACAACGGATACGGAGCAACAACCCCGCCCCCTACAGATGAGCCAGCAAGTCGTCCACCCATTCCATCGTCTAAATCGTCGTCACCTCTACCAGCTGCGATATCGGGCAATGTTGGTCCTCTTCCGTTAAACACCTTTGGTTCGCCTTTGACGTTGCTTTTTTCGCCAGCAACAATTCGGTCTGGGTCAAAGTTTCCGTCGAATGCATCCAGGGATCTTTGTCGAGCCCTTTGTCGCCGGAAACAGATCGCGAGGAGAGCGACGAGAAAGATGAGACCAACCCCACCGCCAACAGCACCACCAACTATCGCACCGGTGTGTGAGGCTGAAACGATATCAATAATAATCCCCCGTATTGTCATTGTCAGTACTCACTAGAAGTATTATGCTGTGTGCCACTGCTGACGGTAGAACCCGGAGGTAACACACTATTGGTCGTGAAAACCGTAGAGACGACTTGTCCATCCGTGTTCGTGGTTACAACTGTCGTAGTAAATTGAGTTGTCAAAGGCGTTGTAAGCGTTGAACTACTGCTCGTCGACGATGTACTATTACTACTTGTCGAGGGAATTGAGGTTGTATTTGACGAAGTATCGGATGGTGGCGATGTTGGCGGTGAGGTCGGAGGAGAAGTTGGTGGGCTCGTCGGTGGGCTCGTTGGTGGTGGAGTCGTTGTCGGTGGTGTCGTTGTCGGTGGTGTTGGCGTGGGAGACGCAGGTGTTGTTGACGGCAAAGGCGTAGGCGTGGCGGGTACGGAAGCCATTTTTTATCGTGGGTCGTATTCGCTTCGTTCCAAATGTCAGGTCAGAGAGTTGGGACAAGCAAGGAGCGACTCATTTCTTTCACGAGGCCGGACTCGGAGAAAACAATTGGCTGTACAGGTGCGGTGATCAGTCGGGCCGGAAGTTCGCGTTTACCGTCATCTGATTTACAAATCGTTATTCACACGATCCCGTAACCCTTGGACTTGGCTTTGTCGGACCTCTTCACTCCCAGAAATGTTACCAGGTAACAGAGAGATGCCCGTATTATAGATATGCGTGTATACACAGGTATACACACAAATACCTTGCATCACCAGGAAGGGAGACTTGTGGAGCCACATCACACGGATGTGCGATAAATTATATGAGCACCACAGTGAGTGACGGTGACAAAGTGATAAGTATCTCACCCCATAAAAAAAAGCGGATGAAGAAAACATGTATAACAAAAGACCTTTTGGGGTCTGGGTTGTCCTTCCAAGCGTTACAGTTCGATGTCACGGTCAACGTTCAACTGTAACAACGCAGTCCTTTTCCTAAGTTTTACCCATCTTCGCGCTGCCGTGTAACGGGGCCTCCCATTTTGGACCTCTTGGACCAGCGGAGGATTGACCCCAACACATTTTCCTGAGTTTTCAAACCGGTCCAGGGGTGCTAAGCTAATGCAAGTATAATACATTTTAGTCCCGTCGCCCTTCTTGCCATAAAAAAGTGTCTCCAAATACACTCTAATGCGGCCATGACTGCGGCCCCGTAGTCATTTCCACCTGACATATTGATTGTAAGTGTTTGCTACTACTAGGTAATTTTACTACACCTAATCTACATATCGCCAGGACAATGCAGCGTTCAATGAATGGTTCAACTACCACTTCGGGCCACCGAGTCCATGATACTGTTAAATGTAACACCCTGTGGCCATCCTTCTCGCTAGTCCACCGCTGCGAAGAATCTTGCCACCTCTACTCGACGGGCTAGATAGCATCGAGTGGTAGCCCGATGCGCGATGCGGAGACATGTGCCAAAATCTGTCATCATATCAGCACTTCCTTTCTTTTCACTTATAAAGTAAAGCCTCGAGAACGAAAACCATCTTTTATCCCCCATCTTAACCTTCAAAGCTTCAAGCTTCAGTTTCAAGTCACTCAGAGGCTTTCAGCCATCGTTCTCAGTATTATCTCAAGTGTTCGTGTGTGGTGTACTCGTATCTCCAGCTTTGTCCGGTCCGATCTCAGCTATTTTTTGGAGCACGAATGTAGATCATTTCTATAGTTTCTTGAGGTCAAATCGAGGCCAAAGGTAGCCGGTAAGCGCGCTAGTCCGCCATCGAGAACGAACGCGCGAGGAAAGTTGACCGAATGATTGTTGAGAGTAGGCTGAGGGATTGTGTCGTGAGCATATTGGATATGGTCAAAGTAGGCTGCAAAGACACAAAGGTAGGAGCAGCGTAGGAAGAGAACGAGGACAAGGAGAGGAGAGGGACTGGCCGGAATGTAGCGCTCCTAAGATTTTGGTAGGGATAATCTGCTCAGGAGTGGTCGCGTTGTACACAGCAAGTACTACATGTACGTATTTTTGGAATACCATTTCAAAAACCTTACCAAAATCAATGGGCCAAATCCAGGCCCCTCTCTCCCACTGGCACGCCTGATAAACTATACGCCGTGTTCCCAGCACACTCGCTAATTTTTGATAACTGTTCTTGCGTATAGTAGTCTATCCGAGATGGCATCAGGAAGACACACCTCATGATAGTAGTGTATCTAAAGTTGATCTAAAGTGAATACAACAATAATCTGTGATGCTGAGACGGTTACCTACTACCTATGCGAGGCACATCAAAATCGAGTTCAGGTGTCTATCCACACCGTCTAAGCTCTTCGTACAATTGCTACGTGTCTAGAGTCTGACAATCTACTACCAATCTTGAAACGTTGCTGCTGTCAGTGGTTAGAAAATAAATAAAAAAATTAAGTCCTCAGTCGATCCCACCTGGAGGAGTCATCAGATATGTATAGTGGAAGAAAGCTAAGGAATTCCATAAAAACAGTGTTTGTGGGGAAAATCATAAGTGGAACGATAGGTTAGCCTTTTTTATCTCTTCGGCGCTTTCTTGTTCCCGGCTGTTCCCGGTAGATTTTTTCAATATGCGTTCTCATTAGGTTCGGTAGACAAGAGTGGACTAGAGACGCAAGGCTTGTGTAATAAGAACGGGGCCTCGGTAAACGGCCTTCAGTTAAGTAGTGTTGAGATTGGCTCTCGAGGCCTAAGATTAATTTGGGGACTATGTTGATGCAGCCAAAGCCCCTTCCGATCTTCGTTTTCTACTTTCTAGCACTGGCGCTGAGAAAGATGAAGTAAATGAAAGGAATAAGACGGAAATTTTTCGGAGGTGAACGTTGGTCTAATAGTGTAGAGGTTATCACACGGGATTTTGATCTATCAACCCCAAGCCGTCTTCCCGTAACCCAGGTTCGAGTCCTGGTTAGACCTTGTTCCTGGTCGAAGTCGTCTCCTTTTTTTTTATTACTTAAAGTTACATCTCTCACATGCCAGAATTGTCAACAGCGAAGAGAATCGTTCACCAGACTAACATGTAGACTGAAAATTTTCTTCTATTTATTAAGAAGTTGAAACCACACTCGTCAAATAGGCGTCGGGACTTTAGGTAGGCTCTGCGTATACGTATTCTTCCACATTGTGGGATCTGCATTGTTCCAAATATGGACGAGTTTGGTGTATAGGATTAAACAAACTAGAATTTAGATCTAGGTTAAATGTACGAATATATAGTATATGAGGTAGAAACGTGAATAGCCCCTTACCTGAGGCTACCGTACGGAATCAACCACACTCGCACTTCCGCGCTTACCTCCTCTCCACCCCAGCGGTTCCCTCCCCTTTTTCATTGTCCCCATTCCTCTACCTCCCTTCCCAAACACCACTACGACCCCCTCCCCACCCGCTCTCCCCGTTCTTCCCGCCCGATGCAGAAAGTCGACCACATTCCTGGGCTCATCTACGATAAACACGTGTCGGACGAGGGGTGAAAAATCTAGTCCTCTTGAGAGAAGAGATGTGGTAATGAGAACGTGCGGGATCGTCGAGAGTGCTGAGGCGGGTGGCGGTGTTGAACGCTGGGTCTGGGTACTTTCAGGGGAGCGTGCGCTGGACTTGTTAACGCGCAAGAATCCCTGCAAATGTTTATTCGATCCCCAACGACGTTCAGAGACAGGTCCTTTTTCCTTTTTTGCAGACTCTTCACCCTCAGCATCGTTTTCAGCATGCCCCACACCATTCTGTGAATTTGCATTCCACTTCTCCTGTGACTCGGACTCGGGCCCTAAACTGATCCCTTCACCCTCCTCGTTTATCTTCGACGTTAAACCAACCGTCTTGATCCCCTTCTTTTCGAGATACTCTCCCAACTGATCGACCTTGGTTGATTTATTACAAAACACCACGACCTTGCTCAATTCCGGGTTACCATCACCGCCAGACAGCCACCTCCGCTCATCCTCCATCCACACACCCCTCAACCGCTTCTCGATATCCGCGAGTTTATTCCCGCCTGACCAATTGACGTGTTCGATTTGGAGATTCGTTGGGAGACGGTGGAGGCCGGAGGAAGAGAGGCGGACCATTGAGGGGTGGTTCGTGGAGAGATAGAGGGAAAGAGCCGGTGGGATGGTGGCGGTTGTTAGGAGCATGTTGAATGGGTATTTGAGTGGGGTAGAGCCGGAAACAGGAGTCGAATCGGAAGTGGTTGGTGACGAAGTTGAAGCGGAAGACAACGAAGCTACTTTATCTTCACTGTCGGTTTCCCCATCCTCCTCATCGCTTGTACTCTCTGGGTACGGATAAGACGTTGTGCTCAAGGCCGGATCCTCGGGAACGAAAGTAACCTCTCGGCCTTTTGCTTTACTGATTTCGGATAACAGCATACGGGTGTATCTGTGGAAGTCGGGGTCTAAGGCGAGAATCAGTATACACTCAATGTCCGAAATCAACTCGCATAAGGATATCTAAGAATCGAAGAAAATTAAAGTATGGAAAACTAACCAAACAAAACATCCGCCTCATCAACCACGACCCACTCTATGTTCGCCAACCCCATCTCAGGTTTTGCTCTAGGCCATCTCTTTCCCTTTGCATCGTACTGATCTTTTTCCTCGCGGTCCCAGCCTCTGCCAAAAACCATCTCGAGAAGCTTCATAGGTGTGCCTACAAGTACATCTACAGGACGAGTCGTTGGTCCGGACATCGTCAAGGCGGCATTAGCATCAGCATCGGAAGTCATCGCGGCCGATGTAGGTCTAACATCCAACTCCATAATCCCATCTCCCAAAACCTCTCCTTCAGTTTCAGTTATCTGGCCATCGAAAGATTCAATAGATCGTGATACTGGACGACGGTTATTCAAACTCGGCTCCAGGGTGGGAGGCGAATGAAGATGAGCGTTAGGACCAGTATTAGAACCCTCCCGATCCTTATCCCGATTCCGCTCATTAGCGCGACTCGCACAAACCACCTTGAGTTTGATTCCATGCGAGAGCGTTTTGGCGAACCCAGCGAGTTGACGTGCGAGTTCATGGGTTGGTGCAAGAATTAGGGAACGGGGGTTATACGCGTGTGTCGATGAAAACGATGATTGACGCGCCAGCTCAGCGAGCTTGAGCGACTGTAACAAAGGAAGAAGATACGCGAAAGATTTCCCGGAACCCGTTTCTGACGCGAGTAGGTATTCTCTAGGACCCATCTTTTGTGGTGGTCCTCCTCCGACGCCAGGTGGCCGTTCGACGACCCTCGCAATACTCATTTTTTGTATTTCTGTCGGAACAGCATGGAGACCAAGGACATCGTGGAGGGAAGATACAAGGCCGGGAAGGAGAGGCGGGGATGTAAACTCGGTGACTTTTGCAGCCATTCCTTTTAATTCGGGCGTCTTTGCCTGTGGCTTAGGGTCGAGAGTCTTGCGCGAGGAAATAGACATTCCGTAGCGCTCGTGACGAGATGAAGGAGGTGGACGATAAAACTCGGTCAGCTGGGGTAAACCCCCGGGGTTGATGGGGATTTTTGGTTTTGGTGGGTACACTCGTTTTTCTTTGAACGACCAGGCTGACTGCGAAGGCGACGACGACGGCGACAGCGCAGGTTCAGATGACGGTTTGGGCGGACGTGGACGCTGGGGGTTTTCCCGTGGCGTAAATCTCCTGTCCCAGTCGCGAACGATGTTGTCTCGAAGTGTGTTTGACGACAGACTGTGTTCGTGCGGAGGAGGAGAAGACCGTCGAGGATTCGAAGGTGCTTTGGGATAGGAAGGGGCGTTAAGCCGAGGATGAGCGTGATAGGAGCGAAGTGAAGGGAGCGGAGGGGACAACGATGATAATATCGACGAAGAAGCCAATGTGCCAAACTTTCTGGACCCCTCATCCCTCTTCCAAGCCTGACCCTGATTCTCCGCTATCCTATTGCCAGAACTGCGAGAAGGAGAATGCCTCAAAGTAGAGTGTTGGGTGTTCCTAGGAAGAACTTGGGAGTGCCTCGAGATAGCTTGCCTCGGATTAGAAGAACGAGACCGCTGCCCTCGGTGGGAAAGCCCAAGTTCGTTACGCCATGATCCACCCTTTTGAATTTTGAACTCCAGTTCCCTTTCTCGACGCTGAACGAACGAGGAATCCTAGAGTGCAAGTTGAGAGAAGGGCCAATGAACATATATGAAAACGACCCACCCTCGCAGCTTTTGCCTTTTGTTTCTCCTGCAGCGCTTGGATCGCCGCCTTTTGCATGTCAATAAGAGATGCCGCAGTTTGTTCTCTTTCTTTCTCCCATTCGGCTATCTTCCTATCTATGTGGTACTGCTGGATGGCTTTTACTTCTTCTCGGGTTCTGATTCTAGCCTGCTCGTAGGCATTTGGGAGGTTCCTTGAACCGCGACGCGCCCATCCTGTAGGATTACGCTCCTTTGTTTTGACTTTGTAGTTCTTTCCTGGGTCAAGGTATCAATATTATAGCAGGAAGATAAATAATGCGACAGAACTCACCAAATATTTCACGCTGTTGTTCAGGTGCGTGCGGACCCCGAAGGTCATAGAATGAGCGCGAATTATGGTGACTAGTGCAAAGCCTTGAAGAGCGTAAAAGAGGTGCGACTTGTGCTCGAGAAGTGGATGCCATTCGAAGTAAGCCTGGACCAGTCTTCCCAGCTAATTCACCCACAATTACAGCTACTGCTTGTCCCGAGAAGTTCCGCCGTACGAATGTTCAATGCCTCGTGCCAAGCGACAGCGCTACCCAAGGAACGTTGAAATTTAAGACTAAGTGAAGATGGTAAAGAAAAAAGAGCAGAAAATCTTTACACCGGCAGGCAAACCAGTGCGCAAGCTCAAGTAGCTTTTCAGGAAATGTCACGCATGGTCTAATAGTGTAGAGGTTATCACACGGGATTTTGATAGTATCTCGCCGGTTTACGTAGTTCACTTCCCGTAACCCAGGTTCGAGTCCTGGTTAGACCTTTCGTAATTTTCCCCGCTGGCGCTCCAGCTCTTTCGTATAGAGCTGTGTATTTTTTCTACACTTCGCATTTCTACGTTTGCTCCATGTGCCAGAAGGAAGCTTGCGGAAAGTCAACATTGAAAATGGCCCAGGTGTCGGAGATTTTAAATTGACATTATAATGGGCCGGCCATTATAAGGCCATTATAATGGCCATATATTATCGGGCCGGGCCTTATAAAACTTGCCCATACCAGCGACGACGCCAGGAAGACACTACATGGTGTCGTTGGCCTCAAAAGGGCACGAGCATTCAAGTAGATACATTATTCATGTATTTTATCTGCTCGCTATGTCCTGCGTTTTTCAAAACTCTGTTGAGGTTGTACCCAGCCAAGGCCGACCTCCAGGCAACTTCCAAGCTTTTTTCTCAGCTTTTGGGACTTGAGGTCAAGCAAATATGGTTGAAGTACATGTAGAAAAAAGCAAAGACCATAAAATTTCTATTCTTATTCAGCTACAAGGCCTGTATTGCAAATCACCTACATCCTATAAGAAGGACCTTTTTTCATATAAGCCCTTATGATGAGGTAATCCATAATGGTCATTATCAGGCCTTATGCAGCCTTATCGGCATAGTTTAAAAGTTCCGACAAGATGCCAGTGAGCGGAGCTTGAAAAAGATGACACACAGATATGCCAGGATATGCCCCCACAGTGCACATGTCCCAAGCTGGTAATAGACCTAACCTAACCTAATCATGCTTCAAACATCCCTACGCTCTAACCTGTTCCATGAGCAGCTTGTACTTCTACTCATCGTATACATTTGAGCTCCGCAGCCAGTTTTCACTTTTGCAACTTTCTACTTCTTCTCAATTCTAGCCATTCCTTTTACCTCTTAACTCTTCACCTCACAGCTTTTTGGCCTTCGGTTGTACTAGATACAAATATGGAGTTGTTCTGACTTGCGAGTGTGGGCCATTGCGCAAGCGCGTGGCAGGTATGAGTCCTGCAACCTGCAGCTGGGCATAGGATCACAATTTTCTGAGCACTTGGCAACAACAATGGATAAGACCCAGTCAAAAGTCTGGATGGCCAGGCTGGACCAGAGCATGTAAAAATGAAAATGTTGGCACGATCTGCTGTCATCCGCTCTGGTCCAAAAAATTGTACACTTGACTGAAGTCAAGATTTGAAGATGCATAATAGTCAGCATGTTGTATGCAAGGGATGGAACCAAAAACAAGCAGGGTAATAGAAGACAAAGGTGCTACTGATAAAAGCAATAAATATGGTGAAGGAAACAGAGCGCAAATGAAAGCTCACACTGAAGACATTGAAATACCGAGGAGATAAAGAGCGGAGTCTCAAATAGGAGATAAACGCTGTGTGGCAAAAGAACATTGCACACATGCATCAAACCACGAATCCGTGCATTAGAGGGCCGCAGACTGGAACAGAGACAGTGTTTAGCACAAGTGAAGAGAAGAATGAAATATCAGCAAAAGCAGCAGTATGCAAAGGAGGTTTCATGCCTTAGTCCTTCTGGATATACATGGATATCACTGTAAACTTGTAGTTCAACTCACCGATATTGCAGTGAAAGAACAAAGAAACCACAAATCCCTGAACTGCATATGCATGGATAGAAAGTTGCACTTCAAGTAGCACATAAAAGGTAAACAAGAAAACAAGAAACAAAGTGGAATATCGAGAAGCTGGAATTTGGTAGGAATCTGAATGCGGAGGAGATGAGCCAACCCGAGGTCACATGGCAAATGCTTTGACATCCCAAATATATCAAAACTAATCTCCTTATTGGGTCAACCCAATTGACAAAAGGAAGCCTAATTTGGATAATTCCCACATGAAACCGGCCATAAGGACGAGCCTTCATTACATTCAGGACTCGTAAAAACAAATCTCTTCATGCTCTTTTAGGGCCTGTTCGGCAACACAAATCTCAGATTTTGTTTGGATTTTGCCAGGTATTGTGTAAGGTATCAAACCAATTCATGCCAAAAGTAATGAAGGGGACACTCCGAAATCCACATATATTACATTGTATACTTGTTAATTGTTAAGTTACTGCATCCTCAAGTGTTGCCTAACCTTCTGAATGACTTGGAATGACTCGGCAAACCAGATCAGCGGAACATGTGGATATGGCCTGCCTGACCATGTGACTATTTAAATGACTTACATCGAGTCATTATCTCACTTAGGAAGGCTTACCTGTACAAACCATGGTTTGCCTTGAGGATAACACATGTACTATATATATTTAATTACTTAATGATCTCCCATGTAAAAGACTATAAAAGGAGGGGATTATTGATACACCCTTTTTCTTTAGTCTCTATATTTTGTAACCCAGTACCTACAAGAATTACACTTGTTATCTTGATTCTTTGTGTGAACAACACCTGAGGAATTATCTACTGAGTGAATACAGCAAGACTCACTTTAATATCAAGGATATTGAAGGTACGTATTCCCGACACTTATTGTCACCAATACCCGTATAGTGCACACCAACTCTATACAAAGATACCCCCAAACTTAACACCGTAACGTTTAGGTTCTTGTAAGCATTATCTACTGAGCAGCCCCCGAATCTGTTAGATCGGAAGTATTAGTTAAATACAACTGGTTAACAAGCCTCTTTGTTTGAGACTTGACATAATATAGAGACTAAAGTTGTGACTAGAAAATGTCTACTAGAACTGTTACTGGTGCGAGTACTACTAACGAGCAAAATACCACAGATACCCAAGCTTCTTTTTACACTCGTACCCCTGGTTCAAATCGTCTTATGGCAAATGATAGTAATTCTATTAACAATTCTAACCAAGCACCCAGTCAACCTTCTTTTCCAGAGGGAGGAAGAACACTAGGTGCTATGCCCGGTAATGTATACCCAAATACTCTGTCACATGTTCCAAGACGTCCCGCATCTACCCCTGTCGCTCGTCCTAATAATCCAATGCAGTCTAATTGGACACCTTCACCTGTGAGACCAACAACTAACTTGGCAACTGAGGGATGGCATTATGCTAGCACTCATGGTCCAAGATCACCGTTGGATATGGGTCCAAGTAGATTGGATAGATTGACAGAAGAGTTGGAAGGGTATGGTGAGCTACCAGAGCACGGCGGTAGCCCAAATTTATTTCATCACACATCAGCTGAACAACAGCCCGTGACTCCATTACCAAGTCGAACAGGAGACTCGGAACATTTTCCGTCTCTTAACTCAATAGTGGGACCCACTATGAGGAGGCAGGAAACTCCAGAAACTCCTTCAAACCGATTCACACGGTATTGCGATCAGTTTAGAGCTATTGTGGGCGAAAGTCCATTAAGAACACCACACCCACAAGTAACTAACAGAGAAAATATACCCCAAGTTTTAACAGTACCATCAACAGAACCTGCTACAGTAATTGGACCGTCGATTTTAACTCACCCTGCTCCTACGCATGCAATGCAAGGGAATAGTTGGACAAATTATCAGACACCTCCACCAAATTACCATAGAAGGGCATCTGTACAGAGTAGTGACCAAGTTGAAATTGCACGGGTTCATCAAGATCAGTTAGTTGCTTTAGGTGAAAGTTGTAGGGAATTACTTCATCGAATCGGAATATCATCACAGAATGGTGACAATTCAGTAGAAGGGTGGATCCGTAGATTTTTATTAATCACCACTGCAAATCCCAACAACTTAGACTCTGAAGTTGCATTAGCGTTAGAAAGGAGGGGAATTAGGGATGAGGTTATAAGACTTACGGAATATGCTAACCGCCCTGAATTACGAGGGTTTTATGAGCTACCAGGTAGCCCAAGGACAAATTCTCATTCTAGTTCCGGGGGTAGCCGTTCACAACAGGTTCAACCTGTACTAAATCCCCCCCTATCTGAGCAACCTAGGTCAGAGTCTGTAAGTACAGGAATTGACGAGATAGTATATCCTATAATAAGGAGAAGTACTGGATCTGATTTGGTACGTACAGCAGTAAGTGAAATTTTAGGTACCTATTTTGGAAATCCGGATCGTGTACCTCAATCCGCAGAAAATCTTGAATCCGTACAATTAGCGGTAAGTGATATTCTCGAATCATACTTGGCAAACCCAGACCACAGATTCCCGGCGCACACCATCACTTTTTCAGATTCTTCTATGCACTCAAATGATAGGAGAACTGAGAATAGGGAATCTAGGGAAGTAGTTGTAGTGGAACCTCAGAATAGAAGAGTACTAAGGACCCAAAACACAAGTGGAATAGGAAGGGGCAGGAATGTAGCTGCTCACTTCCCAACCCCATTTAATAGGGCTCCTATAGTAATATCTTCTGACTCCATGACATCTCATTCCACTGGGGAACCATTTAGTTCTCACTCAAATTCAATTATTGGACCATCACAAGGGGTAAGTATGGATGTTCCAGTAGTGCATGTACCCAGGTATCATGACCTTGAGACAAGAGAACAAGATACTCATGGTAACACTCCTTATGCTATTGTGGATCCAGTCCCACGCTATGAGCAACAGGAAACCCAACCAGCCTCAGATTTAAGTTCAGCTGGGAGAGTACAACAACTCAATGAGTGGCAGAGGCATGATGCCGAGTCTCAATGGGCTGTTGGTGATCCCCCAGAAAGAGGAATTCTAAGGCAAGGGGGACATCAGTATGTTGATAGAAGTGGAATGTGGATGAATAATAGTGCTAGAAGAGGGGGAGGAAGAAATGGTGGTCATACACCACCCAGAGTCCCACCTCAAAGTGCCATAAGTACTCCTGCATCTAGTTGGCAAGGTATTGTTACAAGACCTCTTCATCAAAGTTGGGGAAATGCAAGGGAAGGAGGAGGCGGCACACCACCTCCCCCTAATGATGGATTTTCCTTGACCTCCGAATCTTCTGCTGATAGGCGTAGGGGAAGGAGTAACCATGTCCCTGTCTCAAATCAAATTCATCAAAATGAATTACAGGCAGCAGGGATTGTTCCACCAC